TCTGAAGAGGAGAACAGTGCAAGTTGTGGTAAGGTTTCCCAACTATGTGGATAAGAAATTGTAACCTGTGCTGTTTTTTTTTTTCCTTTTTTCTGATTTGATTTCGAGTTTCTTTAATTTCTATCATTCACAATTCATTCAGTGGTTAAAGTAGGATAGTGACATTGGCACATTCTCTTCCTCAGTGGCTCTAAACTATCAAACAGAAGGACGAATGATGCAGATATACAAAGGAAAATTCAAGTCAAATGGAAACTGTGGATATGTCCTTAAGCCTGATATTATGTGTGAAGGTTTGTTAGTATACTTTGAATTTCAGTCTTCCCAATTGGTGACAACCAGCATCGCCATCCTCTTAAAATGTAAATCCCTTCGTAGGGTTTCTTGCTACGTTTCGAACGAATTTCCAGTTTAAAAATAAAACCCACCAAAAAAGTGTTTTTTTTTTATTCTTTCTACAGCTGAACCTAAGTTTGATCCCATGACAAGGACGGATATTAAAGGAGTCAGGAGAAAGATTTGTAAAATAAAGGTGAAAAGACTTTACCACATATGTGAGGTGTACTATATGTGCTTTTGAAGAATGTGACTGAATGTTTGTCGACATTCACGCAGAACGCTGAGCTCTCCCAGGGAAAAAGATAAATGAAGCAACTAGAACCTGTGTGTACGAGATTACACTTTCATGGAAGTTGACACTTTAAAATCGTTCGATCATTAAGCTATAGATTTTAGAACAATTCCAAAAATGAATATTTTCGTTTATCAGTCTGCTCTATTTCTTGCATTTTGAATAGTTCCACTAGTCCTTGTCTTTACGTGTTTGAGTGTTTGTTGTCCTTGTTGTCGAGGTTTTTTTTTTCCTCTTCTTTTCATTCATTTTTTTTAATTTCTCAAAGTATCGCTTATATTTCGATAGGTGATAAGTGGCCAACAACTGCCAAAGCCAAAAGACAGCATCTTAGGAGACCGTGGAGAGGTATGCAGAAAATTCTACATGCAGTTTGTTTCTTCGTATTCAGTTCGTTTTCAGGAAGGAATGAAGCGGGAAGTTAAGGAGGGTAAATCTCCTGTAGGGCTCAGCGGTTTACACCATTTCGATGACATGGTTTAACTCCTATTCCCACAACTAACTTTCCTACCGCAAATTCCGATTGCGTGTCTGATTTGCAGCTTGCAACTTGCATCTTGCCCCAAAACAGCATTAACTCTGTCTTGAAAATATTTAGTATTTCCCTATCTATTCTGAACGCTTGCTTCCCTAATTTAGTTAGAAGGACTATTCATTGTTAGTTATAACTATCAAACCAATCTGGCTCACTGAAGCCATTTTCGGAAAATATTTTTTCTTCGTGTGGTAGATCGTGATTTCTCTCGAAGGGGTAAAATTGCAAAGTCTATCAAGTGAATGAATAAATCAGTGAATCCTTTTGTTTTCCTTTAGTATCAATTTTCCTCTAAACTTGAGCTCTATTCAATTATTTTTGATACAGATCATTGACCCTTACGTAGAGATTGAGGTGATAGGTATCCCAGCTGACAACTGCAAGCGGCGCACAAAAACGGTCATCGATAATGGTGAGGAAAACTATTGAGAGAGGTGTTGAAGTCCGTGACGCAGATATGTTCGGAAAGAAAAGTTCTAAATGCTGCTCGTGTCCTTCCGAATACTCGTTTAGATCCTCTAACGAGCTCGACAGGACTCGTGCAGTAGTAAACAGAATCGTGGTGTTATAGGCTTGTGTGGCCAATATCTTGCACACTGCCAGGAACTGAATGTTTATGTGATACTCTTGAGCATTTACGTAGACGAAGGTGGTTTGTTAACATGCACAATGCGGATCGTTAGAAGAAAAATGAAACAGCTCACGAACCCTTCTTCGATTGTGATTTTTTGTTAAGACTTTGAGGAAAGCTTTTCGATTGTGATTATGAGAAGGAAAAAAAACAAAACAATGTAAACGAAAAGAAAAGCAGACCAGGCAGCTAAAGAGAAAATTGTTTGCTTATTTAATAATTCCTTGTTTGTAAAAGTCAGCTTGACACGTGACGTGGCATAACGTCGCGTGAGTTGACTAGACATTACATGGCATGCTTTGACACGAAAAAACGTGATTTAAACTTTAGATTTTAGTTAAATTGAACTAAAATTAAACTAAAATTTAGTAAGCACCTGTCATGCAGAAGTTGTTATTGACATGAAATACACGTTGTGTCTTGCACCCTTTCTTTCATAGGGTTCAATCCAGTTTGGGAGGAGACCATTACCTTTGTTCTCACCTTTCCGGAACTGTCCAATTTCCGTTTTGTCGTTTGGGACGAGGATCCAATTGGTAGAGATTTCATTGGTCAAGTTAGTTATCCATTTTCGAGCCTGATGCCAGGTAACTAGATAAGCTTACATTTCTCAGTAAATGTTGGTTAACCAATATATTTCTATACATCCATTTTTTTCGAATAAAACATGATATGTCCAGTTGTGCTGTCGTGTATTTTGACAGGGGTAGCTTACAACTTTTTTACTTCTGTGTATTTGTGAACCATTGAGTTTTTCAATGTTTGCGGTGAAGTTGACCGAGCGAAAGTCAACAAGCTAAGAACTCCACAGTCGGTCGCAGGCGAGAGCTGCCTTTTTTACAAGAGATAATCCTTAGATATCTTACTGGTATCATCTCTCTCCACCTCACTCATCGATAATCGATATTGATATGTATGGTAGGCTAGGTAGCCTCGGTACCAGGGTGCACTGCTAGCCTCGTTATGGTGTTTATGTAAGGAAGAATGACTTTCAGAATAAACGGTTATTTTGCTCTTGTGGTACGTTGCTGTCAACTTGTTGAAACAGATATTCACTTAGATGTAAATTTATTTGACTGCCTACTTAGGCTACAGACATGTGCATCTTGAAGGAAATCAGCAAGCCTCCATATTTGTTCACGTTACAATTGCTGATTACAACGGAGAAAAGGTGAAATATTTATTGAGAGACTTAATTATGATATTGTTTGAATAGACAGAGAACGCGAAGATTGCTCTTGGTTGAAAGATCGGTGGTTAGATCCAATGATCTCGAGCCGCGAACAGTTAAAAAATTTAGAACTCTGAAAGTTCACCATGCGAAGAAATTGTTCTTTTTAGTAGAAGTAACTGTTAACTCCGTCTTCAACGTTTACAATTTCATTTCATTCCCTCCGGGTTAACCCTTTCTCTCCCAATTTCTAAACTTAAATTCTCCACACTGTCCATTTTAATTTCTCACAATTGTAGCTTCTGCGTATTAAAACCGTGTGGAGAAACTAGGTTTTGGTCACTTCTGATGGTGCAAATCTTAAGAATAGTGCTTTCTTGCAGATTATAGATGGCTTGGATATATTCAATCCAGAGAGAAGATATTCAGGTGGAGTGAAGTTTAAAAGGAGACAGCGAAGAGATTCAACTTTGTTTTAGAAACATAAACAGAACAAACGATTACACTAAAGGGGTACTGGCAGCCAGTTCGATGTGGTTCCGATCGCTGGATGCCTACCTGGGCGGAGATTTGTGAACTGAATGTTGAGGATAACTTTAAATGCTTGTAACCCAATTTATTTACGGGCTATGAATCATAAGGAACTATCAATATCCAAGATTTTGATATGTGCAACTCTGAGTTTGTATCTTCTTAGACTAATGCCTGTGTCGTGAACAAGAATAGGGTTGGGATATGGACTGTGAAAAGTCGGGGAAGTCAGAGTTCCCTTTTGCCGTTTGCAGTTGCTGTATGAGTCGCACTGAAGATCTGATGATGTCATCCCTGACTCACTCTCTGGGAGAGGGTACATGTTTAATGCAACAAACCAGCACTAGTTCCAACACTGGTGGTCTGTCAAAGCATTTGCATTTATGATCTGACCCGAATTTAGATATTAGTTTCGTTCGTTGTTGTTGTTAGCTGCATCAGCGGCCTCTTGTTTCTAAAACAATCGGATCTGGACGAAGAAAAAGCATAGGTGATCTATCATTAATATATGCTTCCAGGCGCTATGAAGTTACTCAGTAATGTCTGTTTTAGCATGTTTTTCTCCGGTACAAAATTCGCATAATAGAGCAAATGTGGACCTGAACTTGTGACCCGAGACAATTTAATTAATAAACCAATTCTTTTATCTCATACCCCAATTCCATGGTAAGTGTATCGGTTCTTTTGCCGCAGTGCGGAAAGCGAGGGGCTTCCATCCGCTTTAGTGTTTAATTCGCAACTTCTACCGCCGTCTTCATGCGGACCTACATTGATGGACGTACAATTTGGCTCCAGATAGCAGAAGACGCGGCAGCTTCCTTCGTCGGCCACTTTTTCTGCTCTTATCAAGTGCCCGTTAAGCGCTTTGCTTGGTACTGGTTCCTTGAACACTATAATCCGACTATATTCTTTAGAAAGCACTGTAAGGTGAAAAGGATCTGATGATGTCATCCCTGACGCACTCTCTGAGGGAGGGTACATGTCTATTTCAACAAACCAGCACTAGTTCCAACACTGTGGTCTGTCAAAGCATTTGTATTTATGATCTGACCCGAATTTAGACTTTAGTTTCGTTCGTTGTTGTTGTTAGCTGCTTAGATCAGCGGCCTCTTGTTTCAAAAACAATGAGTTCTGGACGGATCTGGACGAAGAAAAAGCGTAGGTGATCGATAATACATGGTAACTTTTTTGTTTCTCTTTAAAATTAGCGCAATTTTGCAATTATTTCATCTTTCTGTTGAGCTGATTGGATCATCAAAGATCATCATCTCAATATACGTTGTCTCAGTCATTTTTTCAGGACAGCCTTTCATATTTTGTAATGCCAGGCTGTCATTTGTCTCGTAGAGCCTAAGGGCTTTCTCTAAAGTAAACAATTCAACGTTCAGAGTCTTGAATGTTTAAACGACAGGTTTCTCAAACAATGCAATGGTTTGCAATGAGGGATTAATACGTCTATGCGAACGCTGTTGACTGCAATGATTAATTTTCTCTGTTTGAGTTATTCAGCAGTTTGGACTTGGATATATTTTCCTTTTTCAGAAAAAGGAATTTAAAAATGGAAAGTGTTAGCAATCAGTCGAACCAGCATTGAACTTGTCTCGGATTGAAATTCAGTTCTTGCCTCCCTGTTAACTGGCGTCAATTCGAGATTTTCGAGCGGCAGGCACGACAGATGGAACCAACGAACTTTTGGTTTCAAAAAAACTAATGGAATTACATTCTCGCGAATTTCACTAATGGCTGAATGTGTTCATGGTTTCTAAGTTATTAAGGTTATTTGATATCATATGCATCAGTTACCTTATTTGTTTCATACTTAATAATCACGTGACAAAGTTTCTGAGTCACAAGAAAACAGAACAGAACCTTTATTTATGCACGATAATAATTAAAGCTAAAAGTGATATTGTTAAACCGGCGGTACTACTCTTCCAATGTTCAATGTTAGGCCAGTGATTGGTGTACTGAGGACTATGGGTTATGTCTCGAGCTGCATCCCACACTGTACTTTAAGCATATCCATACAAATACAGAAAACACTGTAGTTCCCGTGGTTGTAATCATTTCTCACAAATGAAGTTGTATTTATCTGAGCAACTTCTGTCGCGCCACTTTCCATCAAACAGCACAGCGCAAGCTATGGACCCTATGTTTGGCTCTCCTGTATTCCAGTCGATAAACACATCTAGCTCACTTCCGTCAGACCATTTCCACTCATCATTGGACTCTTTTTCATGAAGGCCAATCCAATAGGCTGTATTTTGAGAGTTGACACCAAGATCCTCACGAATAAAAGCAGCCTCATCCTTAGAGGTTATCTTCACCAGCCGTGCATTCATTGAATTACAGTGGTCTTCTCCGTCTTTCCAAGAAAGTTCAGTGGTGAATACAGCATAACAAGAGGTTCCATACGGTTTCCAATCGGTAGGACAGTCTAATAAAATCAATGCAAAATAGTTAGCAAACCTGCGTTATCTTTCATATTGGATTCATGTTTGCACATGTCCACAGTAAAATATCAAGATAAGGTAGCATTATAGTTCATGCATCACCCTTTCTTTTACTGTGTTGTTGAGTGTGAAAGGTAAATTTGATTACAGAAATCTCGGTATGACAGACGGAAGGCTTGCAGCTTGCTGATCGTTACACGTTGTGTACAGATGACATGGGAGAGTAGAAAAAAAAGTAGAAATCGAGATGGCAAGAAATGAACGGATAAAATTGGATATTTTATCGAGAGCTACACGCTTTTTTTACACTGCAACGGTATACTTTTGAAGACGATAAGAGTCCATTTTTTATGGATTATCTCTTTGCACCCCAACCAGAATAAACATTCTCCATCTGTTCTCTATACAATTTCTTAGATGGGGAAAAGGGGAATTTGTTTAACAATCAAGAGCTCCTATAGTTGGTGATCATTTCCTTTATTCCTGTGTCCTTAACGTGCGATTCAGGGGTGAGATTTTAGGATGATAAAAGATGTAGGTCCCTCTTGATCAAGAGTGAGTTGATTTTCATTGCATTGGTGATATAAGAACCTTTGCAGTGTCCCTCTTCGCTCATTTCGCGGCAAACACATCGGAAGCCTTTCTCAGTGAATCCCGCTTGACACAATTTTCCCTCTCTGGCACAAGGGTTGCTGCGGCAAGGATTCTGTGTCAGAAAATAATTTCAATCTTAATTTGTCAACTGTGGATTTATGATAACAGTGTCATATACTGCAGATAAAAAAATCAACAGGGCTGGTCATCCATTTGAAATAATTCGGGAGATCATTTTGTCGTTTTGTACATGAACTTATCCTGCAAAAAAGAAATCGAAACTTTTTGTTCTCTTCATAGGAGATGCCTAGCCAATATCAGTGTCCTGTTGGTACTTCTCATAAATATATTCAATCTTTATCATACTACATTAATAATCTGCTAACTTTTCATCAACAAACTTCCAGGTGCTATGAAGTTACTCGGTAACGACTGTTTTAGCATGTTTTTCTCCGGTACAAAATTCACATAATAGAGCAAATGTGGAACTGAACTTGTGACTCGGGGCAATTAAATTAATAAACCAATTCTTTTATCTCATACCTCAATTCCATAGTAAGTGTATTGGTTCTTTTGCCGCAGTGCGGAAAGTGAGGAGCTTCCATCCGTTTTACTGTTTAATTCGCAAATTCTACCGCCATCTTCTTGCGGACCTACATTGATGGACACACAATTTGGCTCCAAATAGCAGAAGACGCGGCAGCTTCCTTCGTCGGCCACTTTTTCTGCTCTTATCAAGTGCCCGTTAAGCGCTTTGTTTGGTACTGGTTCCTTGAACTCTAAAATCCGACTATATTCTTTGGAAAGCACTGTAAGGTGAAAAGGAAGTAAGGCTGATAACGCAGCGAAGCTGTATATGTTTACTGAAAACGACATTTGTGAGTTCTCTTAAGCGAGCAACCACTTCAATATATCTAAGTGGTGGATATGGTAGTGTAGGGATCCCCTTATTCATACACAAAAACTGATCACAGTTTCCGTTTTGTCATCATGCTTAATTGCAAAAATATTGGTCCTGCGGTTTCTCTACAATTTTCATATGGCAGCCTTATTAGGCGTGCAGTCTGTATGGACATAACGATTGCTAAGTACTCGACGTTTTGTTGGTGAAGGTCAAAGGGATGAACAAATCGGTTCCAGGGAAAACTAACTGACCTCGCTGAAAATGAGAGGAGAAAACCAAAGCATTGTTTATAGCGTTCCACTCCTTAATTACGAGCACTCAAGACACACTTAATGCCCATTAAGAGTCACGCAGGCTTTGTGGTTGATGTGATGTCAAATCCACCAGTAATTAATAACATCACTTACCCTGAGTTTTAGCATTTGAAGTCTACGCGACTCATTCAAACTGGTGAATGGTATTCGATTATCAGGCTGAACGCCCTCATTACCCCACCATGACTTAACATACATTTTACGCTGTTTATATCAAGACTTTTATGGCGATGAATTCTTTAAAAGCCTCTTGATGTTGTTATGTTAAGCAGTACCTCTGGTTGACGAGGCTTTTCCCTTTCATTTTTTTTTTTGTTGTTATGACCTCATTTTTACTCTTTTCATGTTCAGTGAAAAAGAAAAACATCAGCTGATAAATCAAATGGATATGTGTAGGGATGTGTAGGGATGTGTAGGGATCTCCTTATTCATACATCAAAACTGATCACAGTTTCTATTTTGTCATCACGCTTAATTGCAAAAATATTGGTCCTGTGGTTTCTCTACAATTTTCAGGTGGCAGCCTTATTAGGCGTGCAGTCTGTATGGACATAACGATTGCTAAGTATTCGGCATTTTGTAGGTGAAGGTCAAAGGGATGAACAAATCGGTTCCAGGGAAAACTAACTGACCTCGCTGAAAATGAGAGGAGAAAACTAAAGCATTGTTTACAGCGTTCCACTCCTTAATTACGAGCACTCAAGACACACTTAATGCCCATTAAGAGTCACGCAGGCTTTGTGGTTGATGTGATGTCAAATCCACCAGTAATTAATAACATCACTTACCATGAGTTTTAACCTTTGAAGTCTATGCGACTCATTCAAACTGGTGAATGATATTCGATTATCAGGCTGAACGCCCTCATTACCCCACCATGACTTAACATACATTTTACGCTGTTTATATCAAGACTTTTATGGCGATGAATTCTTTAAAAGCCTCTTGATGTTGTTATGTTAAGCAGTACCTCTGGTTGACGAGGCTTTTCCCTTTCATTTTTTTTTTGTTATGACCTCATTTTTACTCTTTTCATCTTCAGCGAAAAAGAAAAAACATCAGCTGATAAATCAAATGGATATGAGTAGGGATGTGTAGGGATCTCCTTATTCATATATCAAAACTGATCACAGTTTCTGTTTTGTCATCATGCTTAATTGCAAAAATATTGGTCCTGTGGTTTACATCACTTACCCTGAGTTTTAACATTTGAAGTCTACGCGATTCATTTAAACTGTTAAATGATATTCGATTATCAGGCTGAACGCTCTCATTACCCCAGCATGACTTAACATACATTTTACGCTGTTCATATCAAGACTTTTATGGCGATGAATTCTTTAAAAGCCTCTTGATGTTGTTATGTTAAGCAGTACCTCTGGGTGACAAGGCTTTTCCCTTTTTTTTTTTTTTTTTCTCTTATGACCTCATTTTTACTCTTTTCATCTTCAGCGAAAAAGAAAAACATCATCTGATAAATCACTTAAGGGTTATTCCACTTTGCTTTTGAGAGAAGTTACTGTTTTACATGTCCTTTTTTGCTACTAGTTAATGACGATTAATGCATGCTTTACTTATTATAGCTGTTGTGCCTTCCCTCAGGCTATTTTTTGAATGGAATGAATACTTAGCAACAGTGAATCTTAATCAGTTTCATAGGATAGTCATCAGTGGTGGTGATTTAAATTAGAAATACAACTCACTATATCACGCATAAACTCGGTTAACTAGAGCTTAACTAAATCGACTAAAACTAAAACTTCATTCATGTCCTACGGAGCAAGAAAAAAGGCATTAGGATTTTTGGTTTAGGGGTTTTGGCTATTTTTTAATGCGGTTTTTCGGTTCGTTTTTGCTGTTGTGGTGTTCATTGCGATTTGCGGATCTACCGTTTTTTAGCATTTGGTTTTCGGTCTTCGTCAAAAATACTCATAGGTTTTCGGATTTGGTATCTGATGTGGTTTTCGGTTTTTCCTATTTGGATTCCGGTTCCTATTCGATTTAAGCGGCAATTTTTCGCCTCCACGGGTCTCTCATAGCCGCGAAACCCATTTTGCTTCACTTGTCACCTCTGTATCGGATCGATAAGGGTTTGAAAACTGGAATGTGAAAATTTATCGGTTTTGCATGCGGTTTTCGGTGTTGATAGATTTTTTTGGTTTTTTTGTTTTGTCTTGTTTTCTTTTTCTTTTTTGCTGTTTTGCGATTTCTAACAGACCCCAATGCCCCCCTCATCGAGGGAATTAGTGACGTGAATCATCATTCAGTTCCATTATCTAAATGATCTTTCTTCCTAACAACCATATTGTTGTGCTTTGTGTAAGCAAGGATACTGCATAATTATTGCATTGATGTTTAAGAAAATTTTACGGGAAAACAAACCACGCAATTTGAAAAAAGACATCAGAAATATGAATTTTTTTTTCCTCTTGTCTCCTCTTACCGATCCTGGTGGTTTTTTTGTTTTTTTTTTAGTTACAAACCAACATTCAGTGAAAATTGTGCGGCATATATAGGCTTTAACTAGATATCCGGCGGCTTTCTTTAGAAGACAGCTCTTTCAACTAAATTATTTGCAATATTTATATACAGCAAATTGCGTTTGTGTCACATATAGTATTGAATAATCTCTCTAGGTGCTCTTTCAGTCTCTTCTCTCTCTTTCTCTACTCTCTCTCTCTACTCTCTCTTTCTCTCTCTACTCTCTCTAGATGCTCTTTCTTAAACGATCACCCTTACGCAAATAAGAAAGAAAAACGCATTGTGCTTTATTTGTTATTTCTGTCGCTCTTATAAAATATTTGGGTGAATCCTCGTTGAGTTATTAAAGAATTGGACCTTGAATGCAATTTTTTATATTTATGCGTTAGCAGTTAAATGATACACAATGCTTATCAAATAAAATTCACAGTGTAATGTGTAACGCTAACTTCTGTTCCCTTATTGTTCCCTTATCTCTTGGAAAACGGGGAACACAACGTTAATGATTTACCAAGACGTTGATTACAAATAAACTTACCAGCACACCACATATCGATGACAAACAGAACAATTCCTATTACAAGTTTCGAAAAACCCATCCTTTAACATGGATCATCTCCGCTAGTTAGGTCTTCCTGTTTCAGTAGTCTTCAATACTGAATAGCGTGTCCATGTTAATGTTTTATTTTTGTAAAATATATTACTTTTAACAGGAGTAAATATCACTGACGTTACCTGTTAGAAACAAAGAATTAACCCACTGCCCGTTGTCCAAGAAACAGCTGGTTGCTCTGATGAAGTGCCAAAATTAATGTGAATATTTGTTAAAAGAAATCGCCCCTGAAGACCTCAAATTTTTACTTTCGACTTTTGTCATTTGCTAGAGCATTTTTGTAAGACTATCACTTCAAATATGTTCACATTTACATATTCCTTCTTTCTGTCGAAGGATCATCATTCTAATAGAAATTTTTCTTACCTAGAAACCCCAGGAACAATAGGCTTTTTGTTAGGTAAATGTTTGCACATCTGCAAAAATCGTGATGTTTGCCTGAAGACTTCTTCAGTGTTTTCATTCACTTTTTTTGTCTAAAGCGACTACTTTAGTTAAACAACATTTCTGTATACATAAAAAAGAATTAGAGTTAAGCCCATTCCAGAGGAAAAGGGCAAGAATTGATTCATTTCATAAGTTTTTTCTGTCTACCACTCAGCCTTTTTTTGAAAATATTCTCATCTTTATGGTTTCTTAATCTTTTTTCGATTAACCCTTTAACTCCCAAGATCTCATTAGTAATTTTCCTTACTGTCTGCGATTCTTATTATGTTAGTTTAGATATTTTGGTATCGGATCAATTAGTAATCCCTTTATTGATATTTTTCTTTATTCTCATCACTCTTCTGCATGATATAGTTAGGAGAAATTCTGTGTTGGTCATTCACGGGAGTTAAAGGGTTAAGAGACTAATCATTTTTTTATCACATGGGTGGGGGGATGGAGGATTTTGTTGAGTCAAATGGTTTTCAGGGGGAACGGAAGAGGGATTCGTCTTCTCCAACAAAGTAGAAAAGGGGGAAATATTGAAAGTCGACTGCCAATTAATTTTTACTAAGGTGGGGTTCATAAGAACATTACAAAGCCTCATCTTAGGACCAGATAAACTTTATTGTGACAAAAAAAAAATTTGCCCTCCAAACAAACAGGCTCGATCAATTTCCGGATAAAAAAAACTTTGTTTCCATTTGATAAAAATTGATTCTCGTTTAAAAGAGAAAAACATAAAATAATGAAGGCAATGACAGGCTCAGCCATCATTCAGGGATAAATAGCAGCGGTAATTAACTGGTGCTTTTGCTACTCATTCTCTTCAGAGTATATTTTCTTTTCGCAGATATAGCCGAGAGGAAAATCACACCTGAAGTCATTCCACTCTCCATCTTTAAAACCTTTCAACTGAAGTGATCCCAATTTGAAATCTCCTCTCACAATCTGCCCACAATTTTGATTCCTGCCATAGTTATTGGGGTTATCATTTCCCCAATGGCTGTAATCATTGGCTCCCAGTGAGCTACCGTCAGTCCAGATCCATTTTCCCTCATGCACCTGATCGCTCAGTCCAATCCAGTAAGCTTCCGATGTTCCTTTGAAAAAGGCTTGAGTTAGGAAGTCGTTCTCGAAAGCTGATTCGATCTTTATCAGCTGAGCTCCGAGGCTTTTGCATTTGGCGTTAGCGTTGCTCCAAGTCTCAGCCTTGGTTATGAGCTTATAACATGAACCACTGAGAGAAGCCTCACCTCGAAGGAAGCCTGAGGGAGGAGAGCAAGATAAATGTTTTGATAACTCCATTTTATTAATGAAAATCAATTCATTCTTTAACCCTTTCACTTCCACGATCAAATTGTCATTTCGCAGCAGTGTACTCCATACATTGCTTCAAAATATTTGGCATTAAGAATTTCGTGTCAAATCGAACAACGTCCCCAAATTAAAGTTTTCCCATCGTCTCCTTATTGCTTGAAAATGTATTCAGATTGAAAAGAAAAAATTCTTTTTGGCTTCTCTTGGAAATGAAGGGTTCAGTCAGAAGGCACCAGTTCATCAGTAAACTACTCACCTTCATTACATCGCTCAAGGAACTTACATCTAAAGCCTTTCTTTGTGAATCCCACTTGACAAACCGAATTCTCTCCTGGGCAAGGGTCCCCAAGACAAAAATTCTATTTTCAAAAGAAGGAAACGAGTTATCTATAATTACTTCTAGTATTGTCAAGTAGAAACCCGGCCAGTGATTCTTTATTTCTCATTGAAGTGGTTAATTTCTTCACGCTTTAAACCTTTTACATCCTTTTATCTGTATCCATATTCTGCATACTTTTTTTAACATATATCCAAAGGTGCAGACAAGGAGAATTGAGTTAACAATCAAGAGCTTTTGTTGGTTGGTAACCATTTTCTTTATTCTCACGACATTAATACTTTATTAAGAGGTGGTAAGTATTGTAAGGAGAAATTACTTGCTAATCACGTGCACTCTTAGAGGTCAAAGGCATGGAGATGGGAAAGGACTGCGGAGACTTATCATACAAGGTTATATCAAGTTGTGACCCTCCAAGGAAAAAGAGTACTAAGGTAAACGCACGGGAACGTGTTTCTTGACACGGCAAGCTAAGATTGTCACAAATTTGCAGATGTACATATATTTACTAAGGAAAACAAAAGCAGGCATAGCAACTTTTTTTTGGCTTTGTTTCAAGCAGTATCCTGTATGACACGCTCAACTTGTAATACGACACGCGTACCTGCGTGCTCTAAGAAACGAGTGCAAAGAGGCTCACGTGCGATGTGGTACGCGTGCGATAAGGCACGACTCTTAGAACAGCCCCACTTGCGCGCTGGACCAAAGTTCTGAATTACGACTTGAGTTTTACCTTTATGAAAAGACGTAGTGAGAAAGCTTCGCAATCTCATGGAAAATAACGAAAATCAAGAAGGGAGAAACAAGAGCGTTAACAAAAATGATGATAAAAAACTTAATAAGCCAGAGGGAAAAAAGCTTACCTCAGCACCGTTGTAGGAAAAATTTGGTCTATCGACCAGACTAGTAGGTGATACGCTATCATCTGTGGCGTTGTTCAAGTTACATGTACGGGTTCCGTCATCTGAAGGTCCAACATTGAAGGACACGCAGTTTGGTTCCATATAGCACATCACTCGACAGCCCCCATCGTCAGACACTTTTACTGTCCTAATGATGTGGCCGGTGAGTGCAGCATTGAAAATGGGCTCTTTGAATATCAAAATTCTGTTGTAATCCGTTGACAGCACTGCGTGAAATACGGGTATACAAGTTAATATTCTTTTGGGGTGTAGTTATACATTTAGCTGTTGCGATGCCCTTAACAATGGGCCTCAGAATAAAGTTACAGTGACAGATAATATCGACTTTCGCCTTCCTCAGATTATTATATCAAGGAACTTGACACACAGCCAAAATGACGGAGACGATGAATATTTAAGTCATATAAGAAAAGATTGACCTAAAAATATAGAATTATGGTAGCTTTGCATGACCCCAAACAAAGATATATATTGGGTTTTAATCCCGTTTGAACAAAAAGCTAGGATCTTTAAATGAAGCGCTCTTTCGGATGATTTCTTACTTAGACAGACAGGAATGTCATGTTGCAAAAAAGAAAAACGATGCTCCAAATGACCGCTGCCACGATAGTTCAATTTATCGTTATTTTTCCCCTTTTTTTTCGAGAATTAAAATTTGACAATCATACTTAAAATCGGGGTGAATAGAAGAAGCACATTTACAGAAAATGTAATTGTCGATTGGCATAAGCAACTAATCGTATTGCTTAAATTACCAACATTGCCGAGTGTGCCTTCAGCAATTATGAAAGCGGTTGCGAAAAATAAGGAGAAAAATTTTTTTTCATGCAACATTAAAAATGAAATAATTGTTCTGTTCGTCGGATAAATATGGGCTGACTCTGAACATCGACAGGGCGTTTCATTAATTCCTCAGTAACCTCTACTTGATGATTAACAAATTGTTTCACTTGTCCGCTGAAGATGTTTTTCCCCATAGCTCGGCCTGTTTTCCAAATAATTTTTTTTTTCTGTTGCTCACAATTTTGGTACATAATTAATACTTTCAAGCCGGTTCAGTAATTTGACTTAGTTAACGACAACAGTCTGTTTAAATCCCACTTACCACAGAACACCAGCAGACTCAAACAGAACGAACTTCTTAGGGTTGGCGTTAAAAGCTTGGAAAAGGCCATCCTGAACGTAAAATCGTTTTCCATTTCTGTCGATTAGTGACTCCAAACACCCTCTCAAGAAAATTTGAATATGTTAAACAATTTAGCACGTTTGTTCTTTTTGCTAATTTACGTTTTATTAATAGGGATAGAGAAGGATGGTGTTAAATTTTTAATGAGATAACCTGCATTTTGTTTGTACTTCCGTTACGAAATAGAGCAATGTAACCTCTTCTTTTTCTTCCCTTTTTTTTTTACTGTTCTCTTTCTTCTCTTCACTTTCTTTTTGCTGATTATAGTAATGATAATACAATGTAATATAAAAGACTTTCAATATCATCATCATCATTATTATTAACGTTATTCATTTTAAGTCTTTCTATACCGGCCTACTCTTAATGGGGGACTCGAAACACGCTCTCGAGTTACGGTAATTATGTCAAATGATTTAATTTAACAAGTAAATTCTGTTTTGACTAATTTGCATTGTATAGGGGTAGCGAACGTATCATGATGAAGGATACCTCTAATTCTAAATGAAGCAATCTCTGTTTTCTTTAATCTTTCATTATCACAAAGACTTCTTTTATTATTTTTTTTTCTCTTTTACGTTTTAACTAGCGTGTGACAGTGTTGACGACTTGAGGTGAGGTTGAGCCCATAGTTTTCACACGATATCGATCAGAAAACAGACTGCTACAATACTGACAGCACTTTTGTATGATTACGTCTTTTTCTGAGAATGAAGTTCAAGCCTCTCGTAAAAGTTTTGAGTTAAAAGCTTACGAACCATCACCGCTGAGTATCAAATTTTTATGAATTGAGTCTTTAGACACCTGATAGTTTACCAGAAACCTATAATTGACCGTAAAAACAACCACAGCAAAAACAAACACAAAAAGGTCTAAGGCACGGAAATATCTTTCATCTCTTCATTTCCCGATCAAAATTGCTATTTCCATCGAGATTAACAAAATTCTGCTGTCCAAGAAGCTATTCAGTAGTTCCTTTTTTAAGAGCTGACAGTTTGCCTGAGTCAATGATTACAGCTGTTTCCTATGTTTAAGGACATCTGAACTCTCCACACAAAGCCAAAGTCGATTGTATAAAAAGCTTACCTTTAAATAAGGGTATCTATTCTAATTTTTTTTCGCACTAAAACCTTAAATCTTCCCAACAAGGTTATTGAAATTTCTCAAGACAGCATTTGGACATGTAGTTTTCACGTTTAAACGTTTAGATTTCCATTCCTTTTGAACCAGCTTTTGTTCCCTATATCCAAGTAAAATCAATTAAATTGCCCAACAAAAGAACACTGAAAATTAAAGAATTGTGAATGGCATCCGTAACAGACATTTTTTGCCTCTATTCTAGTTTTTTATCTTTTTATTTATTTTCATGCCGCCATATGTAAGCAGCTGTATTTAACCACATGGGAAAAAGGCTTACTTTGGAAACTTGGGGCCGAAATGCTGCCACTAAATGCTCAAAGCCATACGACAATCCAGGAACCCACTCGGCAAACCAGTAACAGTGTTACCGGCCGAAATTTCCTTTTCCTCCAGAATTTTGCGTTGATCAAGGTGATATGGAAAACTTTACTTTAAGTATCATCATTAATGACTCCAAGGAAACCTTTGCTACATCAGACGTACCCTGCTTCACTTTTACGAACCATCTCATTTTGAAGGTGTTCATGGTCTTTGCCTACGTTCTTGTGATCGGCACTTCCATCATAGGTAATACTTTATTAGCATTTATCTACTTCAAGAGCAAAAATATGAAGACCACAATCAACTGCTGCATCATGAACATGGTTCTCGCGGACCTTCTTGTTACCTTAGTCTACATGCCGAGGATGGTCGCTCGGATTCTCGTCAGCCTTGAATGGTTGGTGGAGGGCACTCTAGGACTTTTTCTTTGTGTACTTGTGTCTTTTTCCCAAGAAATCTCAATATGCGTATCAATTCTAACAGTTCTTCTCATCGCCTTTGAGAGATTCCTAGCTGTAACGTTCCCATTACGAGTTTTCATCTCAAAGAAGTTCTCCATATGCTTGCTGTGTGGTACTTGGCTTCTGTCACTAGCTGCGCGATCCCCAATGCTCTACGGCGTCAAAACGATTCGATTTCAATCCGGTGAGTTAGGCTGCTTTTGGATCGGCTCTCTCAGCTTCCAAACGAAGCAATCAAGAAGGTCGTACCAGGAGTCTATGTTAGTTATATTCTATGGTCTGCCTCTGCTTATCATAATTACAATATACACTGTGATTGCGGTCTTCTTAAGACGTCGTCATGCCCTGATTGACAACGTCACAAGAGATTGCGTATTAGCTACGACTAGAAAGGTGAATAAAATGATCCTGGCCGTAATAACAGCTTTCCTTCTATGCTGGTTGCTTTATTTCCTCGTCATACCGTTACAGGAGTTTTGGAATGTGGTTATCCCCTGTGAGGTTCACTTCTTGCGGTTTTACCTTGGGCACTTGAACAGTGCATGCAACCCGATCATATGTTTTGCGTTTAGTGCTAGAGCTATTCAGATAAAATGGCGAGAACTGAAAATTGAAAGGTC